TCTGCCATCTGTGTGATGGCAACTACATGGCTCATGGCAACAGCTTTCTGGTAGCCCCATGTTGATTAAAACCTTTGAATTTATTTTTATAAATTAACATTTCCCAAGGACCTTATTTTTAAAAGTGTCAACCCACTTCTGCCTTTCAAATGTGTTTTTTCCTATTTTCTGTCATTTTGGGTTTAGATAAAATTTTAATGGAATATGGGAAAGTTTTATGCTGAAGGTGCTGAGGAAAAAAAAGTCTAAACCAGCTAACCAAATAGTTAATTAAAATACTTCTAATTTCCACACACGTAGAAATGTAGGAAGTGCTGTGAGTCAATTGTTGTAACCTGTCAGGTTTCTAAGGATCTGTGCCTACAGCTTTTTCCCTGTTCAATTCTCTTTGAGCAGACAGCACTGGACACATTTGGGCCTTTCGCTTCTTTTTAAAAGCCTGTGGAAATTAATAAAAAGCCTATCAGCTTCCTAAGATAGTGTCCCCTCCTGTAATTTAATCCACTGAATAGTTATAATGTACCTCTGGATACAAGAAACTCTCAGAGAAATGAGAAGTAATTTCACCTAATAACCCCTGAGGAATGATGGTTATTTTTCAAATAGTTGTTTTTGCTAACTGGCCTTGAGCTTGCGCTGAAAATTTACATTGCACAAAATTTACATTGCCTTGGAGCAGCAACAACTTCACGAGCCCTTTTTTTCTTTTTTTTTTTCTTTTAGTTTAGTTTTTCCCTCAGAACAGCTCGATGGTGTTAGACTGATTGCAAGTTTCACATAAAATTTGTGCCAGAACACAAAATCTCGCCTTCCAGTGTTGGCACTATTTCATGCATCCAGCACATTTAAATTGCTGTTTACAGTTGGCAAGTCATAGCAGAATTTTTTACCCCAATGGAGAGATCAGGTGGAATTTCAACTATGATTGTCCAGGGAATCAGTTTTCTTACTCCTGCTGCCCACCTGTGCATGTTCCTTGTGCTACCAGCAACAATGAGGTAATAATACATTTCCACAACACTAGTTCTTGTATAGAAGGATGTTGCTCAAATGGCATCAGTCTAGGAAAGACTCAGGCAAAAAATATCAAATTAATTTAGGTAGAGTGTAAAAAATAATACTATGTCCAGATTTGTATTAGGTCATTAATATATTTTTAGTTGGAAACAGAGAATCAAAAGCAATTCTAGTTGCTGGTATTTAAGAGGAGTTACGGACATCACGCAAGTGTGTATATGTTGGGGACAATTCCTCTTCATAGGAAAATGTTTGTTTCTTTCAAAACAAGGTTTGTCATCTGCTGAAATGTCAGTGAGCCTTTACATGCAACTAATATCTCTCACAGTAAAAACTTGTGCCATAAATTATATTTATTATATTACTTCTTAAGTACTGTTGGTATAGCTGATAAGACCAAAGTCGGTCTTGTCATCACAACTCTGAGTCTAATGCAGAGGAGGCAAGACTGATGGACAACAGTTTATATATAGTAGTAGATAGACATGCTTGATATCAACAAAGCTAAGGCAAGGAATGCCTTTATCTCCTACTCCAAAAGGCTTGAAAAACACATTCTTGACTAACGTCAACTGAAGGTCACCTCTCTTTATTCTATTCAAGATTAAAAATTGATATGGTTTTAGTGTAGGGCACAATTAGAGAAGGGAACTTTGAGTCAGCTTTTACAAATGTGAAATTTTGTTATCAGCTATCCTATTCCTGAGAAATCTGGACGTAATAGATTATATAGGATTGTGCTTAACTTCACCAGATGGTTAGTTACATGGAACGCGCTTGGATCCAAAGAAAGGGTTGGTTAATTGAAATGATTCACCTGATTAAATTTAAGCATGGCATAAATACCCTATACAGGCTATTACTTCTACCCAGTAGGTTTCAGTCTGTGTATGAAATTTGCAAAGAGATGATAGGTCTTCATCAAGACCTTTATTAAGACTTCGGTACGTTTTCATATTTCCCTGAGGAGGTGCCAAGGGTCTTGCATACCTTTATCTGCAGTTACTAACTGAAGTATCATGCCGACATAAAGAATTTGTCTTATTCCTACATTAGCAGCAATGCATCACATTTGACATAAAAATGAGCACAGTGGGCTTTATGTATTGATCACCTTTTAAGAGTTTATTTCATTCTCATACCTTTGGTCTCGGGAGGGCTGGAAATTCAATGCAGGGGCTTTAAAGTACTTTTGAACTTGCATTTCAAGTCTGTAGAGCATTATGCTTCAAACACTAGTACAAAAGTCAAAAGGGAAAAGAAGCAGGGGAAATGGCAATTACTGTTTCATAACAATTGCAAAGGATACTTATATAAAAGCCTTTTACTTGCCATCACCAAATAAAAGCTTTACGTAATGAAAACATATGGCTGGTATTGAGTGAAAAAGGGACGGGAGATTGAATATTAAAGGTGTCTCTGCCTTTAGTTCAGTGTATCCTTGCAGGAGGGAGAAGTGCTCAGAATGAAAGGGTGACAACAACTTTATCTTTGAATTTCCTGCCTTTCATCAGCTACTATTACAACCTGCATGTTTAAGTGTTAAAAAGACTCAGAAAAATTATAAAACTTGATGGGTTTCTCTCAAAAATCTGTACTGTATTTAGATGCTAAATTCTCAGTTTAAAAAAGAATCCATTGCCTCCACCTTCTCTATTTTTTTTCAGTAAAAAGAACAGTTTTGGCTTTTAATGAAATGATTGTTTAAATATAAGGTTTAATGAAGTCAGTGGAAATTTCCATTCATCCAATTTTATTTCTGAAAGGCTGTATCCCAGAAAGCTAATTCCTGGAAGCATTTTCACAATCCTGTTTAAATAAAAGTGCTGGATTGTCTTTGCAGAGTGCATACCAGATTAGTTCTTCTGACAGTCTACACAGAGCTACTTTCATTTATACTTAGTGAGGAGTTTACTCTGTGGTGTGCTTGATGTAATGATGTGATGACTTTTTTATTCTGCCTTTCTTCATGCTGGTTTTGAACCAGTAATTAATGAGAATGACTACATATTTTAATTTACTCTCCTTACAAAATAATCACAAATTGTAATCTCAAATATTTTATTGTCCTTACATTTCGTGTCTGCTGCAAATTGCTTTTATAAGTAGGACCTTCTTGGCAGTTTATAAAGTTACCTTATTAAAAATTCAGAAGGGCAAAAAATTATCTGATATTTTTGTAAACCATGGGATTCTCAAATGATTAATAGCCACATTTGTTCTGTAAATAAATATGAAATTTTCCAAACAAATGTATCAAAAGGGATCCAGTTCTGTAAGCTTTTGCTGCTATCATCCCTATCTATAACCAGTGTGGAAAATAACTGTTGTCTATTCACATGAATTTCTAAAACCCAGTGTCTCATTATTTTAGAAATACATGTTTCTGCCAGTCTCAGGTTACATTTCTATGATCTTCCTGTTCTGGAAGGTGTGTGATATCTTTTCAATCAGCTTAATATCTTCTTAGGCCTAATTTAAGATGGCCATGTAAAGTAAGTACCTAAGCAGTATTTTTTTTTTCTCTGTGGGATTGTGTGAAAAGCCTAAACTTAACTTTCTAGTGATTCCTTTCCTTTTCTTCTGTTATGCTTATTGCTGAATGATGCTAAATTGTAATTTGTTATTCCAAGCCATGAAGACATCCTTCCTTCAGGTAGTTAAAAGGAATACATTTCTGAACCTTTAAAATATATTAAGCAAAGCAGATGTATTTTTCAGGCTTCCTTTAACCTCTAGCACCAGATCATATTCTCCTGCTTTGTGCCTTTTTTTTTTTCTTTATGTTCTCTTCTGTGGCTTCCAGTCTACTTGACTGGAAGCTTACATCCCTGAGGAATACTCAACCTGTAACTAAATATGTGTTTGAATTTAATGTGCAAATTGTTATTTTAGAATTTAATAGAATTTATTTAAAGCTGATCCTTTTTTTTTCAATGTTGCGTGCCACTGTTTTTCAGTTTCAGCCCATTTGAATGAAAGGGAAAAACCTTTCTTCATTTGCCATCTCAGAACCTTGATGCAGGTGGGCACCTCATCACCCTGTAGTTTGTAGGTTGCACTCTCAACTTGGAAAGCTTGAATTGGAAAACCTCATCTCATTTAGTGTTAGGGGCTCCAGTTTGCTTTAATTCATTTCCAGAAGCCTCAAATCCCAGTAATTTATAAAACTACCTAAATGAAAGCTGGGATTCTTGACTTGAGTGAATTCAGAGAATAGGTAGTTTTCCAGTAGCATCTAATATTCAGGACTCTGCCAATGAAGATGGTAGTTGGCATACTTTGTGTGTGCCATTTCTGTGTTCTCTGATGCTCTGCCCTGGATACACTCAGCATTGTGGTTATTGATTTTTGATATTAGAGAGACAGAGCAGTCGAAACATAGCAAGATTTTATGCTTCTTGGATGTATAAGATTACAATACAAGCAACATGGCCACCTGTAGTTAATATGTTTGATTTATTATCTGAAGGTCTAAAATAGAAGTTAATTTACTGCACTTGAATGGCACTAGTTGGAAAGCCCAGAGATCCAGGTTATGTGTTATCTGCAAAAGTGATACAGTGCAAATAACAATAATTGCTCCCACTCCACCACTCTTACAGAGGTACCACATTCACTTGGGTGCTAACAAGGTTCCTTCTTCTGTGTTTTTTCATTCCCCCATTAATAACGTATGAGGATTCACCATTTGAACATTCTGGCCTGAGATTCCACATAATTAAATACTAATGTCCAAATATTGTCTAACACCAACCCACTTTTCACTGAGTCATTATCAGACAACTGTGAATCATCAGTTGATGAACAGGGCTCACTCTTGTTGACTGCAAGTCTTTTCCAATGAACTAACCTTCCTGCTCTGGTAAGAGTATTTGTTATGTTTGTTATTGGCTCTTGAGCAGTCTTCTGTTAAAGACTGAGATTTATCTCTTCTGTTGTCTCTCTCTTCTTTCCCTCCTTTTCTCCTTCCCTCCTTACAGAAAAATCCGTAAGAAGTTCACCAGATCACAGCTGAAAAGAGCTTCCAGAACACCTTGTTCTTCAATCATTGCAAAGACAAAGTCTCTCATGAACAATAGGCAGGCACGAACAGAGCCAGGAATCATCATGCACTGAAGATATAACAGCATCAGCACCATAAAAATGTCAAAATCATGTTTAATTGTGAATGCAAATACAACATTACTTCACATATCTTTTGAGACAGAAACAGTATATGGACATATTGTGGTTGGGTTGTATGTTCTGGGCAGGATCCAACAGCAGCCCTTGTATTTCCCCTCACCTCTGCAAGGGCTACTTCTGGTTCACTGTGCAGGCCTATCCCGGATTCCCTCTATTGCCAGTTGACAGTGTTAGCTGTTGAGGGAGGAACTGTTTGCACTGACCACACTGAAGGAGTATGGATGCAGAGTCCAACCACTACATTTGTCTGTGCCTCCTAGTGGCTCAATACAAAAATATGCAGCTTTCAAAACTATTGTAATGTCTTTAAAGTGGGATTTAACCTTGAGGGGTTGCATTTTCAAAAACAACTGCAAACTTTGAGCGTTCATATTTTTCAGTATTGATTTGAGTCACTCTGGATTTGATTTTCTGAACTGCTGGGCATCCAGACCCTGAAACAAGGGCAGGGTGTTGTTTAGCAGTTCTGAAACTTAGATTGAATTAGGAAGTGCCCATAACTAGTGGCCAATTTTTAAAATGTTGGCTGTATTAGCTTTGGTTAAAATCCTGGAAAGTATTATGTGTGGAAGTGAACATCCAGCTGGACTAGTTGCATGTGTAAGAGCTAGTCCTGTCTTCTATATATTTGCAAGCATCCTCTTATTTCTTTGGGTATTTTTTGCATTTCTTGAAGCCTATTCTGAATAGTTAAAACCAGCAGAACACCATTCCCAGAAAACATGAAGAAATAAACTATTTCCTATTAGAAATGTCTCTCCACAAAATAATTTTTACATTTTGATATGTCTGGATAAAAAGATGTCTTGCTTTGAAGTTCATAAATGTAAGGCTACTGGTGGATACTTACCATGGAGAGATGATGTGCCTTTTGAAACTACTTGTAGGAAACTGTCAGTCTCCCAGAAAGTGGGAATGGCGACAGAGGCAGGTCTTTTTTCTACTCAGGTACTTACAGGTGAACAATCTCTGCCCTACTTTGAAATCCAGAGAAAAACAGTGTGTAGCACTGCTGTGTAGTACGTCAATCATCCGAGGCAAGTTGTCCTTCAACGGGTTTCGATTCTGTACGGCTTTTTAAGATGTGATCAGACACTGAACACGTCATAGTAAACTGAGATGAGCTTCAAAACTTTTTTCCTCCCTCTTTACTACTTAGTTCTAACAGTGTAATAATAATTGTGAGGTTTTCATCCAGTCATGGATATGCACCCAGCTTTGGGGTTAGAAAGACAAAAATGTAAATGATGTGTCGTAGCCTCTGGGTGATGCCCCAAAATTATTTCCCGCCATGCATTTCATGGTTTCAGTCTGAAAGAGCATCTGTGATCTCAGCCTATAACTAGCCATATTCTCTATGTAGGATTTTGTGCCCTTGAGACAGAGACCCAGATGCTTCTTCAAAGACAAAAGCACCCTGACCTCTTGAGGGGACTTGCTGATGGTTTTCTGGAGTGATGGTTCCAGGTCTTGTCTGCTGTCCTTCACCAGCAAGAAAAGGGTGATGGAGAGATTCATGACATGAAGTGCTTACTCCTAGTGCCCTGAATACCTTAGTGAATGTCACTGATTTGGACACAGTTGGAGAAGACCTGTGATTCATCTGCTTACAGTATTTTCCAGTAGCCACTGAAGTGTGCAGCCTAGGAGTCTCTTCTAGGCACAGGATCTGCTTCTTTCTCTCAACAGGAGGGCTTTTCATCAGATAGCTGAGCAGAGACAACCTACTCTTATTAGTAAGGATTGCCTTTATTAACTGCAACATATGGAAACACCTTCTGTATAATAGCTTCCTCACCCATTAAAATCAAGGAAACATGATTACTCAGCAATCTGTTTGACTGAAAGTATGAAAAACATTAACAGAACAAGCTTCCTCAGACATCAGTGAAATCACACGCAGCAGACTCATTTTCAAAGTGTCATTAGCTGTAAGGTTGTAGATTTTTTTACCCTGCCTTATTAAGCTTGTACTCAAATTATTTCTTTTAGCCAGTATGCTCCAGTGTCTAGACAGTATTTTGTAAAATCTCTGTGTGTTTCTCCTTTTGACAATAGTATTAGTATCTGTAATAGTCTGATGTGAAGTCCTTTTTTCTTCTTTCCCTCTAAGGGAAGGTATATTGGTAACCCAGCTCCCTGTTATGCAGCCAACTGCCTGGTACCATTATCTTTTGCATCAAACAGCCAAGGTAAGGAAGAATCCTTTGCTGCTTCAAGCTGAGGTGCTTCATCTGGATACACTGGGAATAATTTCACTTCTGCCCAGCAAAGTCATTTCACAGGTTGCAATAACCAACCCTTGGGATAGGTAAGGCATGGAGAAGACTAATTGCTGGAATAACTTCTGCTCTGTCTTTAAACTGTTCTGCATGCAGCTGCACAGAGACTTTCTCCCCCTTAAACTGCACACAGTGCATGGAGAAACTGCACGCCATGTATTGCACCTTTGTCTTTACCTGCTCTCTCTCCATCTTACCTTTCCTGCAAGATGTTCTCCACATACTGATACCGGATTTACCCGTGAAGTTAAACTGAGAACACTGATGGAAGATCTGCTGAAAACGTGTTCCTGCTGCATTTGGGCATAAAGATTTAAATTTTTGTAGAAATCGTGACACTCCTTTCTACCACATCATGCAATTCCATGCTTTCTGTTGAGTTAAAAGATTTTTCACTGACTGTAAGTAAAGATGACACATTCCTGTGTTATCTGTAACAGCGTATCCACAACAAATCAGAGCTCCCTACTTTTTTTATCAAGCTTCCCAAGTTAGTTATTTTAAAATCAGCTAACATATCTCAGTCATCAACAATGACATTGAGTTTAAACATAAACCTTCTAAGCAAGGACAAGAGGTTTGGTACTTACCATGGATATAAGCAAGAGAATCTAGACAGCATCAGAGCTGCATTTACCATATGATTTATTTTCCAGTTAGCTAAATAAGAAATCTGTCTGAAAATTTGCCTTTCCATTTACAAATCAGGGGCTAGGAAACCATGCAAAATGCACAGTCTTTTGTGTTCAGAGGCCTCATATAGAAAGTAAGAAGATTGTTTTAATGTCTGAAATGTCTATGTCATTTTCATCTATATAGCTGCTCTGTTCTCTTGAAATGTTGTGTATCCTATTTTCAGATTATTTTTAAAGGCCCCTGCTTACTGATGGAAGTTTTGATTCTGTAGGATGGAAAAAAAAGGTTTTAAAATATTCAAGATTGTTTAAAATGTGTTTGTGATATGAAAACAACATCTTTTAAAACAGTGTTTTGATTAAGGGCAAATATAGCCTTTGTTTCTACAGTTCAAACTTTGCATTGCAGCATGTTATGAAAAACTTGGAATTGGAACTGAAACCAAGAACAAACAAGCAGTAGAAATGGTGAAATGGAGCCTGCACTTACAGAATGTGCACTTTTTTAGTAATCTAAACAGAGATTTTTTTAAAATAAATATAATTTCAACAGAGATACTTTCCTAATTATGAAGGCTTAAAAAAAATTGAATGGCTGCACAGTAGTTTCCAATATAATCACAGAATAACATGCCACAACCTTTCTCAGAGAACAATTACAGTCCTTCAGAAATACTATATTGCATAGTACGATTTACTGGACACAGTGTCTTTATATATGTGTACTGCTATGGTAATGGAATTGTTAGAATCCTTTGGAAATGTCAGCAAAATAATATTCAATTTTCATTTTTCTTTTGAAGGTCCTTTATATAAACCTGTGTCTTCATAAGTCAGAGGGGGTGTCAAGAGATCTGAGTTTATATAACTGCACAGTGGAATTTTTTTGAGTAAGTCAGGACTTTTTTATTCAAATGTTGCATGTTGAGGGAGGAAACCTAATTTTGGAATACATGGGGTTTTGGATAAGAGTTTTGAGGTTGTACTATATAGTGATCAACAAATTTGAAGAATATGCTCCTGTTACTCATAAAGATTTAACAGTTGGTATTGAAATACAGTATTGATTAAATAAAAACAAGAAGCATTAAAGAGTTGTCTTTTTTAAATTCTGTTGTTTAGGCTAAAAACTAATTTCTCAATGGAATGGTAAAATTGGGAAGCTCCATGTTGGGTGTTTGAGGATGTGTGGAGCACCTTAGAATGAAACAGTACTATCTGATTTGCATTAAAGTGTCTTTGTGTACAAACTCTGTGACTCTTGGCCCTTTTTGCAGGAAACTAAATTTCTACATTGATACTGTCATCCTGTTTTACAGTAGGCTATTGAATAGTCAAGAGACTGAAAACTGATGAACTGCATGAGAGTTAAAAACACAAGTAGATAAAATGGGGATGAAGAAAGAAGACTCAAAAATTGGGGAAAGAGAGACATAAGGTATTGGCCCTTGCATTGGAACACTAGAAGAGTTCTCAGGATTGTGCTGAAATCTAGGCAAAAGGACTCAAAGCCTACAAAAAAATACTAGAAGCTACAGTGCCTTGCAGTCTCCAGTGCATTGGCCCATCTAAACTTTGCAGATCTGTATTAGTGTCAAAAACTTTGCATGTTGTGCATTTGGTAACACCTGGAACTGGTGACTTCTGTGTAAATATGAAACATTATCTAAGTCCTCTTTTTACTAACATCTAAGGTAATTTCCACAAATTAATCAGATGTTTTTTCCAGGGAAGGAGAATCATATAAAGGGCTTCTGAACAGAAGTAATGGCTGCTGCTTCACAGGTTTGTCCAAGGCAACTGTTTCCATCTCCTAATTCCCCAGTCTGTCTTGGGGAATGTAGGATGCTTGGTCCACACGTTTCAAATGCTTGCATTAGAATGGAATATCTTTTTCTTTTTTTCCTCCCCTCCCCTAAAGAGAACTGTGCATATTCCAAGTAGCAAAACTCAGGTTCTGTGATGTTTGGGATTAAATGGCAAGATGAGTTATATTTACTAGACCTTCTGGATGAGTTGCATTCGTAGCAAGGAGGAGATGGTCTCTGGAAGCAGTCCCTTGCTGGCAGAAATGAGGAACTGGGAATCTCCTTTAACAAAGCTTAACCAGGCTTACAAGGAGTCTCAGTCAAAAAGGAGGAGGTCCAAGGTACTCCTCGCTTTTTAAAGTATGACTTTAAAGCCTTTCCCTTGTCTAGTTGAAATAGGTACTTAGTGGATTATTTTAGTCTCAATTTTTTAGTTCACTGTAAAGGTATTGATCACATACAAAGCCTCAGCAATGAAAGGCCATGAAGTGTTTTTCTCTCCCTTGCACTAGCCGTCAGAAAAAAAGGAAAAAGATTAAAAAACCTCAATGAACCAATGAACCAAAGACAGAGACAAACAAAAAAAGCCCTCCCCCCCCATCGCCAAACAGCCAGATATGGCTGTGCTGTCTACTTGAGAGCAGAAATTATTAGAGAGGGCATTTTACTAAGAGGTGAGTTTTGTTTTGGTCCTTGGTATATTGTAAATACATTGTAAAACATTGTAAATATAGAAAGCATTTTCTGTGAGTGTCTGATACCATGACACTTTTCCATGAAGTCAGATGCACTAGGGCTATTTTATAAAACAGGAAAGTAGAAAATGCATGAATGTTGCCAATTCAGCTTAACATAAAAGTCCTATGTGCGTTTTAGGGCCCTGTTATATTACAGCCACTTGTTACCACTGTGGCAAGACCAAAGGTTCTTCAAATATACATTATTTGTGTACACATTAAAGTGTATTCCTTATAAGCTAAGCAGAGAGATCTTTATAGAAATTAAAACTCTTTATTACTCATTTAAATGATGATAAAACCTAGATGTCAGGCCAAAGAATTGTCTGAAGCCATATATAAGATACACACTCCATTCAAAATCTGCTTTGTGTAGCTGGCATGTTCCTTAAGCATTAGAATTGGCACTGATATTATGCAATAAGGCCATTTGTTTTTAAATGGCTTAATAGAGTTTTATAAGGAAGGACATCATCTACAGAAATAAATCTTAGTCTGTCCTGCTTTGGGCAAAAGAATGGGAGGAAAAGGATTGGAGCCACATTTTGATGCTGATTCTCTTCCTACAAGTTATCGATTCATGGCTGCAGGATTTCCTCTCCAAAGCTAAGCCCCAGAGAGTCTGGAGGAGCATGACAACTCCCACATTTATTTGTAGGGCTTTTTTTTTTCTTTCTTGCTAGCTGTGTTATTACTTCAGAGATTTGCTCCTCAGTAATCTGAGTCGATAGTTTCATTAATGTGGATGAGGCAATTCATATCACCTTTGGGTTAAAAGTGGCTCTTTCCCTAGTTTCTTTTGCTTAGGCACATAAAAACACATTCTGTATAATAGCAAAAAAAAAAAAAAAAAGAAAAAAAAAAAGGATTTCACAAGGATTTATGTGAAACTAAGAAGTAAGTAAAGAGTGTACAACCTTAAACTAGCAGGATATAGCAGAAGAGGATACTGAACGTGGTTTTCTTCTATTACATGGGTACAGCTGTCTGTGACTGAAGAATCATTCTTTCAAGCAGTCCTTTTTCCTCCAGTTCACTGGACACTGCACTTGCTCTTCCTGTCTTCATCAAACTCCTCCATTTGTGCTGTTTGCCCAGTAATCACATATTGAGCAAATGAGCTACTCATACTTTAACTTTTCAATAAGAGATGTTATTGGGGCAGATGCAATGGGCATTTAGAGTCTCTAATATTGATGAATAGTTCCATATTTGTTTTCTTTCCTTCAGCCTAGATTCCATTGGAATTTTAATCTTTTTTCAGCTATCGAATCTAAGAAAAGTGACACTCACTGCCTTTGATTCATAAGATATACATTTAATCCATAAAAACCGAGTTGTGTTGCCCAGTCTGCTTGCAGGAGCTTGACTCTATCCTTGCTGTTTGATAATCCTGCCCCCTTGTTTGTTTTCTGTATTAGAGACAGTAAGTGCAATATTGATTGGCTTTTTCAAGCAGACTAGACTCCATCCTGCAGTTTGTGCATGCACAGTTAAGGCACGTTTAAATGTTTTCTCCTTTTTTTTATGGTCTCTGCTTGCTCTCCTGTTTCTTGTGCACACTCAGAAGAAAGGAGAGCTTGATGCTGCTCCCCTGCCCAGTGTGTGTGGATTTGGCTCAGTTGCTGCTGAATGCCTGGGTGAAGGAAAGATTAGATCACTGATAACTATCCCTTTGTGTGCAGTGTTTGAACTGGGCACTACAAACCATTCCAATACTTCTTACTCTGAAATTCACCACCTGCCTGGCTGGTGCTGCTGTCATCTGTAGAATGAGAGTGTCTTGCTCTGGGGCTAAAGCAGGCTCCATGGCACTGCTGTAGTTTGGATTGTACTAAATGGTTCAGAGCAGCTGAGCCTCTGGAGATGCTCCCATTCCACTCCTGCAGAACTGGAATACACTGCCAGCCCTCTTATTTAGTGCCATATTTGAATCCTAATGGTATATTTGGATCCACTCCCCTTCTAAATTGCTTCATCAATACTCAGGCACCCTAATCCTACCATATTATGTTTTCTTTGCTTTGTTGAACCCTAATCTCTATGAATTTTAACTCATTTTTCAGAATGATGTCAAGGAAGATTATAACTAGGATTCTATAAGCATCTAGAAGCTTTTGCTCCCTCACCCCTTCTTCATTTTTCCATTTAAGGCCATTTTTATTCTTTTGCACTTTCCTTTTCTCCTTCCTTTGTGTTGGTCTTTCATTTACTGATAAAGATTTGTGTAATGTGCGCAGACCTTATTTGAAATATGACATAGTCGTCAAAATAAAAAAATTCATACCTATTGGGGTGAGGGCAGGGAACATTTGACATGGCCTTACAGCTCAATAACCCTAGAGAGTATATTGGCTAAACTGTCAGAGTTTGAATCCAGATAATTATTTTAAACCTGCTGAGTTTCTTGCTATTTAGAGTCAGTGGTTTTGTATTGTCCCTTCCAAAGGGACGGGGCTTGCTGCAGATTTGCAGTCTCAATGTGTTTGGCTTTCTTTTACCATTCTTAAAGGTTTAGAGGAGTTCTGCTCTGGGGTTTGGCTCAACTGTACCTATTACACATGCCTTGCCAGCCTGTAATTAGACCTACTACTTAAATGCTGAGTCGTTTTCTTCTGTTTACTTTATTGAAAGATTTCAATAGAAGAATATAAATGAAGTGGTTGCCTAGCTCTGGATTTTCTCCATCTTCCCTTGATGCACTAATGAGAATCAATT